CGCATCCGGCCCCCGGGCCTTAGGTTGCCTACCCCTGGTATGGAGGAATAACAGAGGTTCGCTTTCTTTCCTGGCCAGGAGAGGGCAGAACTGAATCAATAGCCTACTATTGTAGAGTTGGAAGTGATTCCAAAACTGATGTAGTCCAACTCCAGCTAGTATAGAAATCTAAACCTAAAGTATCCCAGAGAAATGGTAAACAGTGATCCAGATCAATGCTGCCAACTGAAAACCCAGGGCTGATGTTGATTCTGGGAGTAATCCCACAATGCAATAAATGGCACCCATCAAGAACAGGAAGAACCCTACTTGAGGTTTACCTGATCCACCAACTGTCTATGTCAGGGGTAGGCAACCTTTCCCCTTTAAGGGCCAAGGGACTTCAGCTCCCAGAAGCCTCAGCCATGTTGGCCAATAGTCCCATGTTGGCCAATAGCTCCTGGGATTCTGGGAGCTGAAGTCCCTTGGCCCTTAAAGGGGAAAGGTTGCCTACCCCTGGTCTATGTAAAGGTGGGCAGGTGTGGGGGTGTGGGTGGTCTAGGGATCATTTTTGTCCTTGTTGGACCTCAGTGAGATGCACTCACTTATTTTTCAAAATGAGACAACACCCTCCCACTCCCTGGGTGAAAAATTGCCATAAAATAGCCAGTCCTCAGAAGCCTTATAGTTATTTCAGCATACCCTCCAAACAAGATGTCATTAGGGGGGTGCGGGGGTTCACAATGCATTGGGTGACATTGGCCATCTCCTTCGCCAGCCAGGGTGCTTCTGCCCTCTGCCCACTGGTGGGGTGTTGTGCCACCTGGCAACCCTCCCAGGTCTGGTAGGGCTGCTGGCCAGACAGGGAAAGAGATGCCCAAGGGTCACCAAAAGAAGCAGTGGCCATGGTCTCCTCCCCTTCCCACCACCCTCACCTCCCAGCTCTCCTCCTCCTCCTCCATTTGTGCCTCACCCTTAGCCCACATAGCCAGTGGTTTTGAATGCTGGGACTTGTAATCTAATAACATCCGGAAGACCATTTCCTCAGTACTGCTGCAATGAATGTAACTCTCTTTCTACTGATTAATTTCTGCCATTCTTTGTTGGTTATGATGGATGCGTTATTGTTGTCCGTGTGTTATTGTTTAACGTTGATGTTCCCTGGCCTGGGATTTTATTTTCTTAATGAAGGGTGTGATGTGAATAGGACAGGATTAATCAATAAATCCCAGACTCTGTTCAGGGACTCTGGTGCCACACCTGGACCTAATGGGTGAGAACAAAATGGAGTGTCATCACAGTGCCACACCCCAAAGCCTGGCGAAACTCACCCATCCCATGGATACAGATGCTAATATAGCACAGGGGACAAGATGGAAACTTGGGATGCTTGGCTATGATCCTGTTGGCTGGCAGAGGTGGCAGAGGCGGCATAGGTGGTGGCACATCAACAGGTGTAAACTTCCCAGAGGTGTCATGACAATGGGCGCAGGATGGCACAGTAAATCATCTCTCTCAAACAAGAAAGCTGCCCCGCCAGATCCTCCTGAGTCTTGACTTGGCATCCTTTCACACAACATAATTACAGCACTATGAATCTGCTTAAACTGTCATGGCTGCACCTTGTGGGATCCTGGGATACATCACTTGGTGAAGCACTAGAGCTCCCTAGCCAACAATTCCAGATACATGTCCATAAACAAGATTCCCAGGATGCAACCATGTCAGTTAAAATTGAATCTTAGCACTGTAACTGTGTAGTGTGAGGAAGCCAATGTAATTCTAGGCTTATAGTGTCTAGACTGAAGAAAGTAATAGTACCACTCTATTGTTGCTTGGGTTAGACCTCACCAGCAATACTGTGTCTAGTTCTGGTCACCACAAGTCAAGAAGGATGTTG